GGTTAGTAATATATATATCCAATCAAAATCTGCTAAAAAACTTTGGTTAGTAATATATTATATATCCAATCAAAATCTGCTAAAAAACTTTGGTTAGTAATATATATCCAATCAAAATCTGCTAAAAAACTTTGGTTAGTAATATATATCCAATCAAAATCTGCTAAAAAACTTTGGTTAGTAATATATATATCCAATCAAAATCTGCTAAAAAACTTTGGTTAGTAATATATATCCAATCAAAATCTAATAAAAAACTTTGGTTAGTAATTTGAAAATTCCCCAAGTGGATTTTATTATTTCTGCATGTCAAAATTGTAAAGCAACCCCACAAAGCACGGTTTATACATGTGTTGAATATGTGCAAGAAACTTTACTTAGGAAATCAACCTTTTTAATAAAGTCTTTCAATTTTAACTTCAATGCTTATGGCCCGATACCAAATGTAATTTCTAGTTATTTCTCCACCAAGTTCCAGTCAGTTTTAACCAACTTCTCTAGCTCTTACTTCATCGCCTTTACCATATATTATATTCATTTAATCTTTAAATGAAACTAAGATTGAAAATTTTCAGTGAACTTCTGGTGAAAAAAAAAATCCCTGGGAAAACATATTAACTACATTCAGAATGGCCAGAAATTCTTGTAGTTATATGCAAAATATCAAAACGCAGAGAGTATGTCATTATTGTGCAGAACTGAAATATGCAAGTACTTATTTAACGAAAGCTCAACTTTCAATGTATTACACCTCCCCCAAAATTTTCTCCCGAACAACCGGAAATCCACCGGTTGGTGGAAAATTCTCCTCTCTATACTTTGAGCCGTATTTTCCGAATAATAACGTATTTCTAGTATTTTGTTTATTCCAAATTGTTAATTTTCTGCAGTAGAAGTGCCATATTAAGTATTAAATTTTACAATAGTCATTTTCTCTGATGCAAAAAAAATGCAATAGTTAGTCTCAAAATGGTACCTACGTGTTTTTCGGTATTTATAGAAAAGGTGTTACATAAAAAATACTAGGGAAAAATGGGAATTATTATATTAGGAACAACCAATCGACAATCAATTATTGGTAACCATTAGACAGTATGACCTAGATACTTCTAGTCACAATTCTTTGTCGATACACCGGTCATTTGATGATTAATAATACATAATCCAAATATTAACCACACATTTTGTTGAGGGCAAAAAACAACCAATTTTTGGTATAACAGATGACTGCACCCATTGATAATGTGAAAGATAATTATTTTCACAGAAATATTACATTGGCATCTTACTATAAAAGTCTGTTACTATACAACAACAACATTTTGAGAATTTGAATTCCTACACTTAAAACTTGTGAAATATTCAAAATATTATATGAAAAAAAAACATAGGAAAACATATTACACATACTTTGATGAAATTTAAACTTCGTCCAATAACATTTTGAAACTTTACGTTTCAGTCTAAAAACAAAACTTTGTAAACAAACATCTGTCTTAACCCTAATATCATGTGATTCACATAAAAAATTAATGGTAAGATTTTAACTAATGATCCAAAAGGTTATTTCATTGTTCTTCCATCAGTTAAAATGGCTGTCAGGCAACATTTATGAGCTTATTAAAATCAGACTGTTTGACGGTGTAACATGACGATGTCGTTAAACTTGGTCTTATAAATATAAACCTTTTTCTCGGGAAAAAGTTTTTCCCGATAATATTTTAATAAAAAAAATGTATGTCATAATATTTTTTGGAATTTAGTTAGAACTATGAATTGTATATTAAAATCTGCTCGGTTGTTTTTGAGGACTTTATTATGAAAAGTGTTTTTACATTTGGTTGCAGAAATTTGAAAAAATAAGCCAAGCCTATGTTCGATTGACCACTGGCAAGGATATAAACAAGCCTATGACAAGGGTATGTTACGTGTTCCAATGAAACTTTGGGCAGAGTAGACTTAGTAGGTTACTTGTAGGAAAAATTAACAAAATTCAACGTGTTACCGATTTACTAATTTTATTATGATGTGAATTCTGTATCTCAAACACGATTGTATTGCCACCCCAAAGTATTTACACTCAATCGATTAAAGAAAATACATTTCATAACATAAGTATCGACAACAGAATAATTTTGTTGGTGTATAATTACCGCAAAACTTTGATTATTTCATGACATTAGTACGTAACATAAATATAATAATAGGCCACGAAGTCCTTCAATGCTGTCCCCATACACCGAACCATCAGAAAAAGTAAAACTTTAAATCCGTACTTTACTTTTTGGGAAACGTTCCATATCTCAAACCTGTGTACTCTTGGTCTCCGGAATACAGCACAGAGGAATCAGAAGCCTCTTCCCTACCAATCCCCTAGAAACCCTAGTAAGCTTCTACAAGGTCATCTTTTACCTTTCTTTAAAATAGATTAAGATAACTGATCCATCTTCAGAATCTGTCTAGTAACCCCTCCTCTGAACCCTTTTCGATATATTTCATTTTAAATGCAAACAAGTACAAGACAACCCACTGTTGTATTACACCCGGCCCAATCAGCCCTGGTATTCGGTGATAGGTCTTGTTAGCACAAAATAAAAGTACTTATGAGGTACTCGGTATGAACACAGAACAATCAATTCACAAAACCTTATGTTCTGTTCGTTTGTTTTATAAGAGGTTTTATTTACATTTAAAACCCAACTAGAAATAAACAACTTGATTCTCAACTTGTTACATAACTTCACTCAAACCAACTTGTTACAAACTTCACTCAAACCAACTGGTTACAAAACTTCACTCAAACCAACTTGGTTACAA